CATCGAAATGAAAATGCTAAAAATAAATGTTTCGAAATATAAATCTATGTTAAACTACTCCTAAGATAAGGAAAATGACAAGAAATATTGAAATCGAGTGTCTTTGATTTAAGTTCTGGCCCTTCACAATGTAGCCATTAATGGCTATTTATAGAAGAAAAAATACAGCAATAACTACTTAGTAACTACCCATTTCTTCCATCTTCATTCTTGTCTTGCCATGTGTCCTTTCACTCATCCACTTTATCCTTCCACTCATCCACTTTGTCTTTCATATTCTCCATTATCTCTATAACTTCTTTTAACTTCTAAATGAATAAAAGGATGCCACGTGTCCTGCAATTATATAAAAAATAAATAATAATAAAAATTACAGATTTATGGTGCTAACACAATCACATCACATTTTTTTCATAATAAAATAAATAAATAAATGAAAAAAAGAATCATCGAACTAACTATAATCACATTTTTTTTCTTTGTGAATGTTTATATTTATCTAATTTCAATCATATTAAAAATAAAATTAAAATAGTAAATAAAAAGATTAAATAATATTAAAAAAAATCATTGAACTAACTACAACAATCATATTAAAAAAAAGAGTCGTTGAACAAACTACAATCACATCACATTTTTCCCATAATAAAATAAATAAATGAAAAAAAAGTACTATTAAACTAACTACAATCACATTAAAAAAAAAAAAAGAATCATTCAACTAATTATAATCACATTTTTCTCTTTGTGAGGATTTATATTTTTCTAACTTCAATCATATTAAAAAAATCAAAAATAAAATTAAAATAGTAAATAAAAAGATTAAATAACATTAAAAAAAACCATTGAACTAACTACAATCACATTTTTTTCTTTGTGAGTGTTTATGTTTATCTAAGTTCAATCATACTAAAAATAAAATTAAAATAGTAAATAAAAAGATTAAATAACATTAAAAAAAACCATTGAACTAACTCATTTTAAAAAAAAGAATCATTCAACTAATTATAATCACATTTTTCTCTTTGTGAGCGTTTATATTTATCTAACTTCAATCATATTAAAAAAATCAAATTATAATTTTTTATTCGCTAGACAAATCACAAATATGTTTATGCGCTATCTAACTACAATATTAAAACAGTAAACAAAAGGAAAAGGAGAAAAGAAGAAAACAAAAAAAAAGACTTACTGTTTGCATACGTGGTCACTGAAGTTGAAAATGTAGAAGTGAGAAGTCAAGAATGAGAAAATAAAAAGAAGACTCACTGTTTGCAATGGATATGTGAAAAGTTAAAAAAAAGTGTGTGTATTGGAGAAGTTAAAATGACTTAGGAGAATTTAATAAGTGCTAAGTTTTTTTTTTCAAAAAAAATCAAAAAAATTAAGAAATTAAGGTTCAGATATTGGAACTCCCACAAAACTTGTGGGTTAGAGATAGATATAAATAAATAGGTAGATATAGATATAGATATAGATATTTATGTTTGTTTTAAATTTTTTTAATATACAAATTATTTGTTTTGGAAAAGGTACTGCAGTAATTATGAGAGAAGTCAAAAAGTCTAAATAGATAGATACAGATATAGATATTTATATTTGTTTTAATTTTTGAAAAATGCTATGGATCCCAAACAAATTACCAAATTTTTTACCAAACCTATCACATGTGTGTGGGATCCATACAAATCAAATGTGTGTGGGTCCCGCACCCATGTGAGAGATTTGGTAGAAAATTTGGTAATTTGTTTGGAGTCCCTAGCATAACTTTTAATTTTTTTTAATATGTAAATTATTTATTTTGGAAAATGTACTGCAGTAATTATGAGAGAAGTCAAAAAGTCTTATGGGTTGAGAGAAGTTAATAATGCTGAGGTTAATTTTTTTTTAAAAAAAACAAAAAATTAGAAAATTAGGATTGACATATTGAAGCTCCCACAGGTCTTGGGGGTTAAAAATCCCCTTTTGCTTAATATATAGTATAGATACTAGCCTATCACCCGTGCTATGCACGGAATAATTATAGATATTTATGTTTGTTTTAGATTTTTTTTAAATATAGAAATTATGTTTTTTAAGATTTTTTATAAAAATAATGTAACAATCTTATCACTAACCATAGTGTATGAGAAAAGTTGAAAAATGTACTGAAATAACTATGCATGGATTGTATCTATAATTACTTGTATGAGGGGATTTTAAATGCTGATAAGGAGATTTTGACCAAATCAATAAATGCAGGCATGTGCAAAGACATGTAGATTAGAAAAAGTTAATAAATGCTGTGTAGGAGATTTTGACCAAATGAATAAATGCTGAGGGTTTTTTTTTTTTTTAAATCAAGAAATTTAGATTGGGATATTGGAGCTCCCACAAGACTTTGGGTTAGAAATCCTCTTTTCCTTAATATATAGAAGATATAGATATATATAGATAGATAGATATGTTTTATGATATTAATACTTTAAATGTACTAAAAAATAAATAAATAAAATTTTGGTGAATTATACTCACTTTTTTCTTAAATATATCACATATTAGGAGGGATGAATTTTTCTTTGGACAAAACACCGAGATTTTCCTTAACCAGTTGAGCTAGTTCCAGTTAGTTGAATTATAACTATAAAGAACTGTTAAGAAAATAAAATCACACAGATTTTTATTTTTTTTTTTGAATTTTTTTTGGAGTGAAGGGCATATGTCAAGTACCCTTCACAATTGTAAGAATAACAAAAGCTTTTTTTGTTTTTGTCTCTTTTTTTTTTGAAAAAAAAAGAAGAAAATTTCAAGGCACTTGCCAATAGAGAACATACAACAAGTGAGTATCCAAATCCTAAGAAAGAAGTTTAAATTCAAAACCTCTACTATGCAAGTGTCCTATAATGCATTTATTATTATTATCACTATTATTTTTTATTGAACTTCTTTAAAATCTAAAACAAATATCAAGTACAAAGTCAATAAAAAAATTTAACTAAAATTAAATAAACAATCTATGCCTCCCATTAACCTAACTATAAAATCCTTATTACTGAAATATATTAACCTAACTATAAAATCCTTATTACTGAAATATAAAAATTCTCATTAACTAGTGTCATCTTTACATTTAATATTTATTCTTCCGACACCTATTTTTAGTTTTAGATTTTGAGAAGTTGACACTAATCCCACCGAGATAAAATTGGTTCACTTAAAAAAAGAGTTAAATTTATAATGATGGAGTTTATGATAATCTTATTATGTCCTTTAATGATTCAAAGAGATTAACTACCAATGTGAAATGGCAGTCAACAAATTGAAAAGGCATATCATGCTGCTGTCTGGAAGCAGATTTTCCTTTGATATGCTTTTTGTGAACTTCTATGATTAGGCTTTGTTAAATAAATAATTTGTTTTTTTTTAAATTTTTTATAAATATTTTTGGGGATTCTTATGTTATTTGATCATTCATTCCTTGGCACCAAATTCAATGATTGGAACATGCTAACACCTTTGGATCAAATGCCCAATATTTTAATTGAATTATTCATAATCTATCTTGCCAAAAGAGGAACCTATCCTATTTAGATGTTTTTGAGCTGCAATATATAATTTTTGTTAATTTTAAAATATTTTTTAATTTTCTATTAAAATATTCCACTTTTTAGGTTTATTTGGGCTTGAGTATCTTAAAACTTAAAAAAAAATCCAGTAAAAACAGAAATAAACCAAATTTATAGACTTTTTTTTTAGACAAAATTGGACTTACTATTATCTTTAGTAAAAATAATAATAAATAATTTTTTTCGCGAAGTTTTAAAGTCATCTAGTCTAGATAAACCTAAAGAGTAAAAAAAAAAATTTAATACGATTTTTTATAAAGTTAATTAAAAATCAAAACAATATGAAAAAAAGACAACTTACAATGTAGTGCAAATAGATATAAAGCAAAGAAAAGTAAAAAACTACAAATCAAACACAATTAACTTGTTGCACATATATGTAGAGAGAGATGCTCTACTAGTCCACTCTTTTTGACCTTTCAAAAGTTCGATTTATTTATTTACAGAAAATAAAAATAAACACTTTCCAAAACATTCATATTTTTCACATTGAAAGGGATTAAATGGAATATTTTTTTTTTTACCATATCCTTCATTTTACCATTTTATTTTTAAACCATTTGATTATATGTTGTGTAGCAATTGGACTACGTTCACTTTCAGTCATGTACATCACAATGTAGTAGAAAACCATAATGTTCTTGTCTTATATTTGGTTTTGACAAAAAAATAAAATAAAATAATACTAACAAAAAATGAGTAAGCATTTACGGGAAAAGCCAATTTTTTGTTTGGTTAGTCATAGAAAATGAATATGTTCGAGTAATTAAATTTCTTCTCATTTTTCTTTTCCTCAACAAGTGGAAGATTAAAACATAGCATTTGAGGAAATGTCAAGTCATTCTTAACACATAATTACATGAAACACTTCTCAATTCTCATACTTAACCAAAAAAAAAAAAAATCAAAAAGAAGAAGAAGAAGAAGAAGTCATATATAAATAAAGAGAGAGAAAGCATAGTAAGATAACAAGAGCAACCTTGTCAATGTTAATTGTTTAATTATTATTTCCAGAGAAAGGAACTCCAAAGCAATAATGGAGCATTAGAAATAGAAAGCGAAGTGAACCAAAATGTAAATTTGAAAAAAATAAAATAAAATCAATGCTTGCATTTGCTTAAGCCACTTTGCATTGGATTTAAACAAACAATATTATGCAACTTAAATACCACTGCACCAAATATGTTCAAAATTTGAGCTCAAAACTATAATCTATAATTTATTTTAAGATAATCACAGTGCCAAGACTTTTTTTCACCCATAAAATAAAACCCCATTATATATATTTGTCATTCCACCCAAAAAAACTTAAAAAAGGAAAGTTGCAAATTACAATAAACCCAATTCTCCATTTCTATAGAAAGAGAAAAAAAAGAGGGCAAAAAGAAAAGAAAAGAAAAAAAGAGAGGAGATAACTAGATCTCCGTGTTCTTTGCTCAAGAGCAGAACAAAGTATCATTAGTATTACTGTTCCTCTTCAACTCTAAAAACAGAGACCTAATTTCCATGATCACCCACAGCTTATCAACCGATATATCGATATTCAAAATCTCAATACTATCTATCGATCGATGCTCAAAAACCATGACCACAACTAATTACTTAGACTCTGAGCAAGTAAACACTAAGTTCAGGAGCACCATTGCTATCAGGGTTCATCATGTAAAAAGCCTCTGAATCCCTAGACCCCACCACTCTCTCAAACTTTGCCCTCATGTACATCACCTCCTCACCGCCACCGCAGCCGCCCTCAGCCACACCTCCCTCCTCTCCATCTCCTCCTCCGGGCAAAACACCGGCACCCATTGATATTGGCTCCACAGCCTTTAAAATCTTCCACTCTTTGGGACCACACTCCCGCCTTGTTGCAAACCCACACTTCTTCCCATTGCAATAAGTCCTCCACACTGGCTCCTCCACCAGCCGCCTGCCCGCTGCCCCCTTCGCCTTGTCCTCCTCCTTGTCACACTCCAACGCAATCCGAACCAGCCCGGATGCCATTTCCCGAACAAGCCCACTTATCGGAGTGGCAAGCTCGATCAGGAAGGCAGGCTGTGAGCTGGCATCCTTCTGGAATGCAAAATGTACATGCCCGCGACGGTACCCGAAAAGGGTACCTATTACCTTTGGTCCTAAGCCCAAAGGTAACTGCGATCGGTTTTTACTAAAAACAGATCGGTTTTTACTAAAAACAGTAAGTACTGATCGCAGCCTGGAAACTGCTATTGCTTGCAGTTTTCTCCTCTGACCAGGTGTTGGAGCCACCGGTTCTAGTGTCGATGCCTTGTTGTTCTCTTTTTTCTTCTCATCCTCGCCGCAATTCAAGGGCGGCTTGAGGGTTGGAGGAGCTTCTTCATCTTCATTGCTGACTTTGTTTGTCCAGTGGAAGTGCCTCTTGGAAGATAAGTCCTCAGAGCTCTTTGCCATGACTGTCTTCATCTATGAAAGCAAATCAAAGAGAAGTAAGCTCCTTAAAGATTATAAGTTGGTAGAGAGAGAAAGAGCTAGAGGAGAGAGAGTGTGTGTGGATTTGTGGGATTTTCATCTATGCCTTTGTTGTAGTGCAAGAAGCGAGTCCTGACAAAGGAAACACAAGCTACCCCACCAACCGTATTAGCAGTAAAGAACAGAGACAGTCACAGAGGAGAGAGAGAGAAAGGGGGGTCCCCAATAATACCAAAATTATTTACAAATACAATTTTTTGCAAGAAATTCAATCAAAATGAAGTTTCAGTGTCATTATTGAAATTACAAGTAAAAAATGGTGCTTCTTTTTATTTTAAAATGAAAGGACAATAAAAAACCTAGTCAGGATCTGAATTTAATACTGAATTTCTCGTTCTAACTTTCAGATAATCAACTTTTTAAGAAATAATTTCACCGTCAGTTATAAGCATAAACTGTATCAAACCTTCTACACAAATTCTAATATATATATATATATATATTAAGCAGCTCAGGTTGAGAGAGAGAGAGAGAGAAGGGTTTTGACAAAAAAAAGAGAAAGGAATCTAAGAGACAAGGGTATGTGTGATATCACTTTCTATGTGGGGAGAGGGAGTAAAAAAGCAAAGGCTTGACTGACTCTTTTTTGTTTTTGACCTGAAACCAAAACCAGTAAAGTGAGGGGGGGATGAGGTCACAAAAGCAACAGAGAGCCATCACTATTCACAGTAGACATGCTTCCAACACAGAACACACCATTCTGCTCTCTATCCCTTGTCTTCTACTCTCTAACAACTCCAAATGTTAGGGTTCCAGAATTCTCAGATTCTCATGGTCCCCTGCTGGTTTTTTTGTTTTTTGTTGTTTTGACAAGGCTAATACATTCTCATTTTTCACCTACCAGCGACAATCTATGTTCTGTTGCATGCCCCGGGATTCTTTGTTCTTGTGTCTTAAAACACTCGAAACTATTAAATCATGTCTCAAGATTATGGATGACAACAGAATGAAACAAAAGACAGATATTTCAAAAAAAAAGAAACCTTTGTTATCTCTATTCAAAATTCCTCACATAATTCAACCATTATAACTATTTTGAAACAAAAGAGAGATATTTGAAAAAAAAGAATCCTTAAATCTATTGCACCAAAGTTGAGGTATGGGGTTCAAAGTGTTTCTAAAGCCTCATTTACCTATTCTGTGTAACAGGTATGTCTACATTCCACCTACACCTGCAAAGTGACACTTCATTGTTCAGTGGAGACAACCTATCCTAATAAACTATATTTGATTGTCTTGGAATAAATTAGTTGACACATCAATCATTTACTGGGGATCCACAAATATATATGCACACCCATTTTTTAGCATCCTAAAAAGTGGGACCAACTGGGCAGCAGCTCTAATTGAGCACACAATTAAAGTTCAAAACCCTCCTATGATTAACTACTGACCAATATATCCAGCACTCAATGCCTCATGCCCACTTATATTAACCTTGATTACACACCAAAACAAAAAACATAGAAGAGCAAATAAATAAGAATTATAAATAACATGAAATAATAATACAAGATTTATAAAATTTATTCTAAAATTAAAATTACATCCACAATTACAAAGATTTCACTAGACATTGCAAATAAAATACAAAAATAGTCAACCTCTCTACTACAAGTGCAAAAATACTAAGTGATTTGTGTTCAGCCCTTGTCATGATCCCTACTACCCCAACAAGAGACTTTCTACCCAAATTTTTTGATCCCTCCGTCTAATGCACTCTAGTCACACAATAGTCTCAAGATTCTATCATATCATGGGGCTAAAAGTACATTGACAGAGTCGACAGATTTTGGTACAAGAGAATCCGGGTCTTGACAATTTTAGGTTGGTTATTCAAAGCGACACTAAAGTGGTGGACATAACATTGTGAAAGAGAAGCAAATTTGAACAAACTCTCACTAATTACAACATACTTATAGACGTAATAATTCATAAAACTACAAATAAACTTGAATCTAGAATATTTCAGTACACTAAGCAAAAGGGCTTTTTGTACATAAATAAGAGAGAGAGCACATATGGAGAATAGATGGAGATAAAGATGCTTGCCTATGGTTCAAGACAAAAAGGGTGGTTCCTACAGCTAGCTAGCTATTCACAGTTGGCTCGAGCTTGGCCTCAGGCTCAGGCTCAGGCTCAGGCTTGGCCTCGTGCTCAGGCTCAGGCTTGGGCTTGGCCTCGGCCTCGTGTTGGGGTTGTTTGGGGATGATGGCCTCGGGGCCAGGTTGTTTTGGGGTCGTGGCCCCACCATTCATTCTTGCCCGGGCCTCTGCAAACATCCTTTGCTGCTCGGCCAATGCTTCTTCCTCTGTCATTTCGGCTCCATTGTTCCACTTCCCACTTTTTAGTGTGTCCTGCTAGAAGGAATTTCAAAAACAATCAATAAATAAGCATTCTTAAGGAGTGTTTAGAAACTGCATTGATGATCGAATGCCACGCCAGTTAAGTTCCTGTTCACTGGTTCCACTAACCACTTCAACAGCCAAGTTAAATAATTTAAAATTTGTGTGATAATAAAAAAAAATAAAAAGAACAGGGATAATTCAAATTGTTTCAAGTAAAATAAGAGGTGGTGGCAGAATGAGATAAACCAGTGACTAGTTCCTAGACAAACAATTCCGCAGACCAATTCGATAAATTTTTGCCAAAACATCAGTCTTTCCTCGAGTTAAATGCGTAGATTGATAATTACCATAGTCTCGAGCTTGTGTTGTTCATATGCAGCATAAACCTCTTCAATATATTCCCCGAAACCGAGAACCTGACAGACAACCACATTTAAAAGGCAGGAATAAAGACGCATGAAACAAGGAGATGGAAATATTCTGGGAGGAGAGGAAGGAGGGGATTACAATACATAAAGCAGTAGAAGCACAATAGTCAATCTATTGCTACTCATTTTCACATCAAAATTATGCATGAAACTATTTCTTTTATCTGGCCATGGAAAGGCAAACAGACACTGCTAGATGCAAAAGCCCCAAGGAATGCCTCCATTTTCATTATCTCATACAACGATAATAAAAATCACCAGTTCAAATTGCTTAACATTACATTAGTATTATTTATTACACAGACGATACAAATCACATGCAATTGGCTTGTCAACTTGAAAACAATTAAAAGAAACGTATACATCTTTAGAGGGAGTGGTCACCTCCGTGTTATTCTTACCCTCAGACCTCAATGGCAAATAAGGTATTTTTTTCAAAATCCAACAAAAAAAGTACTGAATAAATTTGTTCTTCTCACGGATACCTTAAATTGCTCTAATCCTAGATGTGGTCCATCATTTGTGAAACATATACTGACAATGTATTCGACTGGTCTGAATCAGGGAAGATGGAACCTATTAAGATGGTTTTCATGAATTACATAATAATGTGCATCTAATCTACCGTTGCAATGTGTCTACAAGATGATGCACTCATATGCATGATACTGATGGTAAAAATTAGTACAACATGAGAGATCCATGTTGCTGTAGTTTGCAATGTCAATAGAACCCACAAGAACCAAAATTAAACAGAGAAAGTTATAGGGTTTGTTGGGAACCTTTAAAGCCTTGAGTACATGCTCTGGTGCAATTGTTCTTTTTTCTTCTCTGCTACAGACTTCATTGGACTCCGATGAAATAAGGTTTATAAACTCTGTGAGAGCATAGAAAAATAAAAGTGTTCATGAGATGTGTATAATATGAACTGGCTAATGAACTTAACAAGAGAGTACAAGAAGTCTATATAAAATTTTTTTTTCCAAAAAAAATCTTAAAGAATGCAACAATAGGTAACTGGATGCAACATAACTACTGCAAAGATAGATTAGCATAAAATGGTTACAAGACTGAGATGAAAGAAACATTTCCCACCAAAAAGGTATATGGGTCTTGTCACCTCAAAACAAATTATCGCTATTCAGATAGTGAGAGATCAAATTGTTGTTGTGTAAGTTACGCTTTAAAATCTCCAAGTCAATCTAAACAGTAACAGAAAAGATTTCAAAGTTTATTTTATAACTACAAAATATGATTCTCGACACATCAATTTTGAAAATAAGAGGAAAAGTAACTGCCTATAGTAAAAAAAAAAAACCCCTTTGAGATGGGGTGCCCAAGCAATCCCATAACCCTGCAAGTGACCTCCAAGGGCATGCGACTTGGTGGTTAGAATTAAGGATTTGTCAAGGCATCCATCCCCCCCTCCTTCAAGGGGACTTACATCTTGATCAATCTTAGACTAAGATATCTCTGTGAGAATATTATGGAATTACGTATTATGGAATTATGAAAATATGTCAATTAGGTTGATTTTGTGAATATTCGATTGATTGTTGATTGATTGTATAGAATTATTCCTCTTATAGATTAGGGTTTAGGATTGCTATAAATATTGGTTGTAATCTTTGTATTACGTACAATTGAATATACAGAAAAGCTTTCAGAAATCTTACGTGGTATCAGAGTTTGGTACGAAACCCTAACAGCATTACACTTTGGTCGTTGCTTCTGATTTCTGGTTCTCTCAATCGAGCTCTCTGTTTGTGATCGCTCGTTGGGTGGTCACCAACTGATTCCTGTGGTTGTCCTTTGTCTCTCCCTCAAGCTCCTTGGTCACGATTGTTGGATGGTTGCCAGAATCACGATTCGTCATCATCCATCGCGACTCGTCATCATCCGTGACCTCTAGTTGGGTCATCAGGTCGCAAGTTGAATCTATGGTTCTCTGGTCTCTGCATTCGACTTCTGGTTCGTCTCTCTTGGTGCGGTGAACGTGGAGTTCGTCTCTCCTTCAGTCTCTCTCTGGTTTCGTCTCTCAAAATCTGCACTATTCTCAGCTTCGACCTCCTTCAACTTCGATCTCCTTCGGTGGTTCTAAGCACTATTCTCAAAATATGCTTGCGTCTTATACTCAATATCTTATTTTCAGGTTTATTACATTTACAACCCCCAGGTTTCTCGTTATTACCCTTTGCCTCCTGGTTGCCCATTTTGGGTTTATTACACTTCAACCTCTCAAACTTCTGGTTATTATGATGCCTCTAGCTTTTGATGAGTGTGCCTTCTACCATCAGAGGGGTCATTGAAAGTATCATTGTCCCAAGAAGGAATGTTTGTCTGCTTTGCCAGTGTTTGCCTTGTCTTCTCAGCAATTTCCGATCAAGTTCTACGCTCCTTCTCTAAGTACCATTCGGCCTCCCACTGGTTCTCCTGCATCTGCTTCGGTTCCTGATCCTGACTTGGCTTCCTTGACTGCTCAGATTAGTCAGCTTCAGCATACATTGTCTACCTCTCAGTCATCCCTGTCTGCCTCCATTGCTTCCTCTCTTCATTTAGGTTTGCTAGGGTCTTCTTCAGGTATTTCTTCGTCTGTCTGGCTTTTTTACTCTGGTAGCTCTCATCATTTGACTCCCCATCTCTCCTTACTTCAAAATTGTATTCCCCCTCCCTTTCCTATTACTGTCAATGCTGCTAATAGGTCTGATATGTCTGTTATATCTATTGGGTCTGTCCTACCGTCTGCTATGTCTGTTGTCTCTATTCCATCTGTCTAGTTTATTATCTATCAGTCAGCTTAATGCCTCTAATTTTGATGTTATTTTTTCTTCTTCTATCTGTTCTGTGCAGGATCGGATGTCTAAGCAGCAAATTGGGACTGGCCGTAGAGTTGGGGACCTCTATGTGGTAGAGAGCTTGCTTCTGCCTTTGACAACCTCTCCAACTACCTCTACAGAAAATTAGTGCTTGGGAGTTAGTTCCTTTGCCTGCTGGTAAGAATCTAGTTGGTTGCAAATAGGTCTACAAAGTCAAGACTCATTCTAATGGTTCTCTTGAGCGCAACAAAGCTCGTTTGGTTGCCAAAGATTTCTCACAGAAATATGGTATTGATTATGAGGAAACTTTTACTCCTGTGGCAAAAATGACTATTGTCCATACTTTATTCTCTTTCACTGTTGTTCGTTCTTGGCCTCTTTATCAGATGAATGTTAAGAATGCTTTTCTTAATGGTCATCTCACCGAAAAAATTTACATGCGTCCTCCCCCTAGTCTTCGCCATTCCTCTTGACAGGTTTGTCGCCTTCGGCGTGCTCTGTATGGTCTGAAATAATCTCCTTATGCTTGGTACACTCTCTTTGAAACTGCTGTTACTGAGCTTGGATTTCATCCTTGTGCCCAAGACTCTACTTTATTTCTTCTCCACACCTCTGATGGATTTGTTATGTTATTACTATATGTGGATGATATGATCATCACTGGTTCTGACTCTTCTGCTATATATAAGGCCAAGCAGCATCTTTTTCGCACCTTTGAAATGAAGGATCTAGGCCCTTTACGGTATTTTCTTGGTATTGAGGTAGCGTCTTCTTCCAAGGGCTACTTTCTCTCTCTGGCTAAGTATGCCAATGAGGTTATTCATCGTGCCAATCTTACTGACATTAAGATTTCTGATATCCACATTGAGCTTAATGTCAAGCTCAACACTACTGATAGTGTTCTTCTGGATAATCCTACTTTATATCGAGAGCTTGTGGATTGCTTAGTCTATCGGACAGTTACTCATCCTGATCTTGCCTATGTTGTTCATGTGGTTAGCCAATTTGTCTTTGTTCCTCGCTCCCCACATTGGGCTGCATTGGTCGTATTCTTCACTATCTCCTGAGTACTCTCTTTCAAGATTTACTATTGTCTTCTACTTTGGAAGAGCAAGAAACAGACTGTTATTGCGCATTCCACTGCCGAGGCTAAGTACCGTGCTATAGCTTATACCACTGCTGAGATTGTTTGGCTTCACTGTCTCTTGACTGCTTTAGGTGTCCCTCAGTCTTCTCCGACCTCCCTTTACTATGACAATCGCAGTCAAGGTTCTGAAAAGCGGTTGCGATCGCCGTAACGGTGGCGGTGACGCGATTGCGGTTGTGGGGTGTAAAGGCCGTAGTGTAACGGTTGCGGTAACCGGAACCGTGAATTTTTTTATTGTTCACACAATTTGAAAAAAACTTACCGATACACATATTTTTTTTCCATGATCATATTTATTGGATTAAAAATAAATATTGATCAATTTTTATAAATTTTTAAATATGATCCAATATATTTCATATTTTTAAATCACTATAAATTGAGTTTTTTACATTTTATTTTAATAATTAATGACTTTATATTATACAAAAAATCAATCACTAACTATATATATAAGATAAACAGGTATTTTCTTGGTATTGAGGTAGCGTCTTCTTCCAAGGGCTACTTTCTCTCTCTGGCTAAGTATGCCAATGAGGTTATTCATCGTGCCAGTCTTACTGACATTAAGATTTCTGATATCCACATTGAGCTTAATGTCAAGCTCAACACTACTGATGGTGTTCTTCTGGATAATCCTACTTTATATCGAGAGCTTGTGGATTGCTTAGTCTATCGGACAGTTACACATCCTGATCTTGCCTATGTTGTTCATGTGGTTAGCCAATTTGTCTCTGTTCCTCGCTCCCCACATTGGGCTGCATTGGTTCGTATTCTTCACTATCTCCTGAGTACTATCTTTCAAGATTTACTATCGTCTTCTACTTTGGAAGAGCAAAAAACAGACTGTTATTGTGCATTCCACTGCCAAGGCTAAGTACCGTGCTATAGCTTATACCACTGCTGAGATTGTTTGGCTTCACTGTCTCTTAACTGCTTTAGGTGTCCCTCAGTCTTCTCCGACCTCCCTTTACTATGACAATCGCAGTGCTATTCAGATTGCACATAACACTGTCTTTCATGAGCGGACGAAGCACATTGACATTGATTGTCATTTTGTCCGTCAACATTTGCAATCTGGTTTCCTCTCGCTTCCTTTCGTCTCTTCGACATTGCAACTTGCTGATTTCTTTACGAAGACTCACACCACTGCTCGATTTCAATTTCTTCTTGACAAACTTTCAGTGCTTTCTACTAAAACACCTTGAGTTTGAACAGAGGTGTGAGAATATTATGAAATTATGGAAATATGTCAATTAGGTTGATTTTGTGAATATTCGATTGATTGTCGATTGATTGTATAGAATTATTTCCTCTTATAGATTAGGGTTTAGGATTGCTATAAATATTAGTTGTAATCTTTGTATTAAGTACAATTGAATAAACCGAAAAACTTTCAGGAATCTTACAATCACCACTAGAAGACATTCTTCATGCCATCATAAGATACGTGGTATGCTTCATATCTAAGGAGCATGCCTCCATTGACATTCACTCTCCCTCCTAGATCACCTGATCTCTCACCCCGTTCACCTCGGGTAGTCTCTCACCATTTCAGTGACTACCACAGTTCGTATAGTGCTCTACAATTTGGAAAACATTCACAATCAGAGGATAACGCCAATTGAAACTGTTGTTGATGTAAAGAAGGAAGTTATATGAAAGCTCTGAAGATATCTATACTATCTATTAAGTGAAGCCCAACTTTAGTCTCTTGAAGCTTTTGACACATGAAAATTAGATAATAAACTGAATAAATAAATAAAATCCTACACCTACACATTCAGCAATTCCCTCACTTAATTGCCCAATTACATTAAAAAAAAAAAAATTAAAACATGTCTTTATAGACAGAGTTATTTAACGAGTGGATTTATGAACCAAAAAAAAATAAAATTGGATTGTTGGACTGAGTACCCTATTAAAGCCTCAATTAGATTTTTTTTTTTTTTAAAATACTTATTCCGTACACCTACACCTTCTCTCTCAATTTTTAGGTTTACTCTTATTTTATTGTTCAACAAACTTTTCAAAGGTTTTCTTCCCATCAAATCATTGATAGGTTTGATTATTTCTGTTGTCTTTTTCTTTTTAAAGTTGCTCACTTTAATTTTCATAATCAAACTATTGTTGTTTTTATTTTTAACTTAACCATTTTATTAATTTTGGAAGTGACTGTTCTTCAAGCAAAAGTATAAAATTAAGCATTGTCAGGTATGTTTTCTTTATACAATTTATTTTTATATTATTGGTATGTAGAACACAGATTGGGTACTGTAAAAAAAAAAAAAAATCTTCTTCCAGTTCTCTCTCAATTTCTTTTTAATTTAAACTCTTTTCTTCATTTTTCTCAATTTTTTTTTTAATTTTATTACTTTCTTATAATACATTACAAAAATTGTGATGAACCAATTCTCCTTCTCTTAAACTTTTCTTTTTATTTGTGTGAAGTACGTAAAACACTGGTGGATTAATGCCGGGTTCTTTAATTGAAGGGTTTTTTTTTTTAAGGAAAAAAAAAACGAGGGCTAATTATTCTCTCTCTCTCTCTCTCTCTCTCTCTCTATTTTTGTTTATTTTTTATATTTATTGATTAGTAGTTTAATATTTGTAGATAATAATAAGATTCTAAAAAATAATAAATTAAACAAAAACAAAAACAAAAAAAAAAAACAGATAGGATACCTTGAAAATTTATGTACGAATAGTATTTTAAATTTGGTTAAGCAAATAAAATAAAAAATTCATAGATAATAAAGAGGACACCAAAAGATATTAAAATTAAAAATAAATATTTAGTTTTTTTCATGATCTTTATCACAATATTATTTGGATTAAATAATTTAATAGAAATGATTATTCTCATTATAATTTTTTTCAAGTTGCACACACATTGCGTGTGCCCCCGCTAGTATAAATAAATTCTCACCAACACAACACTCAATTAAGAGATCTTGAGCATCTCTTGCAACACGAACATCTGGAGGCAACATCTCCTTAATGATCTTGGTCATGGTTGCTGCTACAAGATAAGACATATTAATGAAGCAATATAATAAACTACCTTAATAAAAATAAATAAATAAATACACAAAGCAAACAAACTAACTCAAGGAGAATGAAATCAAATAAATTTTCTAGCACAGAAACTTGGGTGATGAGTAAGAACCAAATGTGGTTACATATTAAGTTACGATAGAACTTCAAATTTTTAATTGTGGCAGAAATTAATGCACCGAAAGGCTCATGTACGAAATGGCTCTTATGCCTTGCATGCTATTGGTACCATTCATTTACCAATAGCTTAATCTTTTCTGCCTATTTATTTTTATTTTTTTGATAAGTAAATTTTATTAGTGGGTCAAGGGGCACAACCCAAATACAAAGGAAGCTTAATCTTTTAATATTAGGTTTATGAAATGCAAATAGCCACACTTCAACTTAATAAAAAGTCATCAAAATTACCAATAATAATAATATAATAAAATAATATCTAGCTAATATGTCAAGCAAATCGCTAGCACAAACTATTAATTCATGTACGTAAAATAAATTTAAGAATTTATATTGCTAATCGGGTTCAAAATGCCCTTTTTTCTTTAAAGGATGAGACCATGTGGAAAAATATTACATCGCCAAATGCACTTATTGTTTCATCTCTATATTACTTGATATTTTGTACACGGGTTGCAATCATGCTACATACCACGCTCCCATACTTTGGAAACTAATTTTTATGTAGACAATACCCCGAACTGACTCGGAACAAACAGAGACAAATATATGCCAAGTGGAATAAATAACGATTTTTGGGTGGGAAATGCAATTGCCTTCTTTTCAAGACTAATGGAAAGCAAAGTTTAAGAAGCTGAACGTTATTTTTGTTTTGCTTTTTTTCCGTTTTTGTTAGTTTAGGTTTTGAAGTAATTCAAGATTCTTGTCATTAGGCGTATTTTTGTTAGTTTCCTTTGTGGAAAGAAAATCGCCTTTTCAGATGGTTACTCTCCTTACAATGATTACCAATAAGCTACTTGTGAACTGGCAACTTTACATATTATTGTGTGCCGGCTTTAAGCAAAGATTATTTCTCATAACCGAAACACAATCCCCTCGTAACCCGTAATAAACATCTGTAGCTTAAATATGTATCACTGCAATAATTAAAATAAATGCATCGCAACTTCGCAAGTATCTAAATATCATTTTCCCGGCGACTTCAATAATCATCCATGCCTCAATTTGCTCACAACAAACCCAATAATCTCTCCCTTTCCTTTTTTCTTTTTTTTTTTTTTTTGACGTTAGAACAAACAAAAAATCATTGGTTTAAAGGCTAATGAGATTGCTCTAAAATTAATCTAAGTTTCCATGAAAATTGATTCATGAGAATAGCCACACTTATATCATCATTTATATAAATACTATCAGATTTAAAAAACAAAAACACACAAACACACACACACAAATTTAACATCTTAAATCGGAAAAAATTAAATTAAAATTAAAATCAACAAAAATACAAAAGCTTCATAGATAAAGCCAAAAACAAACCTTTCGGAAGCGAAGCATCCTCCTTTGTCTTCCCAACGATGTCCATAGGTTCCATTTTCGCCCTTGAAAATCAAATCGAAACCCAATCGCATGAGATTCAAATCAAAACAAAGCAAAAGCACAATTTCGATACATATATCGATCTACTCACCGAGAGATTGAAGAACTTGAACCCTAACGAATGGTGGTTCGAATTCGCAGAGAGATCTGCGGCGATTAGGTTAAAATCTCTCTACAGCGCGTTGGGACTCGATTTCCCAAGCGCAGTCGTAGCGCGTGAGGATGAACTACCCATTGCGGCCATGCTTGTTTGGTCAGTGAGGTACACGGAGGAGGAGGGCGTGTGGAGATAGTTTAGATGAGGGTTGTTGATTTCGCTATATATAAGCGAGTGTGTATGTATATGGAAATAGGTTGAAGATGAAGGAAAGAGGGTATGTGGCCGGAGACAGGTGTGCGGTGAAGATGATTTGCTGAGGAAGAGGGAGAAGGACTTTGGGGCTCCGATCAGTAAGGCCGCGTTTGGTAAAAATTTGTTGATGGCTTTAAAAAGGTTAGTTTGAAAAATTGAGGAGGGTGAGAATGGGCCGTGGTTTTCAGATGGGGCCTACTGTTCTGAACCCGAAGTTAATGGGCCTGGCTTGTTTTTGGATATACAAAAAAATTAGGGCGTGCTTCTCTTGAATCTGTGATTAGACTAGACGGTGTTGTTGGGTTTAGGAATGTGCATAATACCGCTGAAATTGTCGAAATCGCACCGAACCGTACCGCCAAGGCAAATTCGTTATTATTTGCCAATCGAACCGCCAGTTTTTGGTAAGAAAAATGACAAATTCTAGTGACACTTTTATCAATCCGCCGATTTCTATTTTTCTTCCAAACCGCACCGACCTGCACCGCTATTAAATCATGTTTTATAAGATTCTAAAAATTCTTTTTTACTTAAGTTTACTTGTTGTTCTATACCTTTGAATATAGTATTTCATTACTACTCGAGGGGAATTCAAGATGTCAGTAATCCAAAATAAAGTTGAATTCTAATTTACTTTTCAATCTTATTTTTTTCTGGCCATATTGCAAACTTGCATCAGCTCACTTTTCAATCTAAATACTTTTCAACAGTAAACATTTTCAAAATATTGTGAACCCTGAATGATATGTATTGTATTTGATCATTGTAGTTTCCACAGATACTTGTAATGAACTGATGGCATAGTCGTTGATATTATCATGTTGTTGCTACACTTGCTGCATTAGAAGAAAGCTTCGCAAGATGCTTAACATCATGGTATCTCTCGCATTTTTTTTACTCTTTGATTTAAGTTTTGTAATTTGAATTGTATTTTTTATAAACAGCCAATCCGCCCAAATCGCCAAGGCAAATCCGTCATTATTTGCCAACCAAACCGTCAATTTTTGATAAGGAAAATGGCAAATTCGAGTGACACTTTTATCAATCCGCCACCCGCCATACGGTTTCTATTTTTCTCTCAAACCGCACTGACCCGCACCGCGCACACCCCTAGTTGGGTCTATAAGAGTCCATCACAGGTCTCATTTCGATAATTCGAACCGTTCAATATATAAAAATCGTCGAGTGCTATATGTCTGTAAAAAATAACATTAATCGAATATCGATAGCTATCTCAGCGAATCAGATTTCTGTCAATCGTTTATTTTTTTACTGTCTATTTTTTTTATACAAAACTAATTTGATCACATAACTATTGATATCCGATCAAAGTAATTTTTATAAGTATATAGTACTTAATAAGTTCTACACATTTAACGGTTTTGATTATCGAAATGGGACTCGTGGTTGACCCTCAAGGGCCCAACAACACGGACTGGAGAGAAGCCAAACCCAAAAAAAAATATAAAAATGCTAGACCCAAAAATTCTACCAAATATCTCAAATGAGTGTGGAACCCACGTACCAAATATGAGTGTGATCACACCTTCACACCCATATAAGACATTCGATAAAAAATTTCATAAAATTTTAAAGATTTCTAACATTGCTCAAAAATAATAAGCAACTTACTAATTTGTTTATCAACGTGATCTCGGTAAGAAGATAGTCGTTTTTATAGGAGTGTCTCAGTTTCGATTTTTGAGACCTAAAATGTTACTTTTGTTTAGTTGATTATTTTGGGACGTCTCACTATATTGAGTAATATTTTATCTCTTTTATGGCATGTGATTGAACTCCATTAAATGTTCCGGTAGTAAGTTTTTTTGTTTTGGTTTGGTTAAATTTGGCCACCAACTTATTACTCTAAGACTAGGGCTTATGAATGTTGTGATATCCTCACGAAACATCTTTTTTTTCCAATCAAAAATATAAAAAACTTACTATTTTATTTGAGTAATATTATCTATCTGTTTTTTATAATAAACAAATTAATCAAAAAAGCAGCCATATCCAAAACAAGTGAAAGTCATCTTCTCTAATTTAGGTTTTGTTTTGAAGGATATTTTTTTTTTTTTTGGTAAATTATAAATATATCTTATGAAATTTGTTTAAAATACGAATTGTCTCATGTAGTTTAGAAAATTATAAATACCTCCCTATTATAATTTTTTATTTAACAAAATTAACTGGAAAAAATAAAATTCCTAATTGTTCTCCTATATAATAATAAAATTATATGAATCATTAATTGAAATAAAATTTCAATATCATTAAAATTTGTTAATTAACTTGATGATTTATTAATAAAAGAATTTATTTGTCATGAAATTATAAATCTTAGGGGGCATATTCTAAAACTACAAGAGATAATCGTAATCTTAATAAGTCTCAGGAGGTGTGTTTGTAATTTATTTTTTATTTTTTTTTGGTGATTTTTTGACTTTTTTATAAGATAGAAATGGGAATGATTTTTTTTTTTTATGAATTTTTTAGTTGTACACAACATTGTGAAAAGCTGATGTGATATTTTGATTTTTTGTCTAAAATTTTTATTTTACTATTGTTTTATATAGGGAAAGTTAAGTTTTGTTTGGTTTTAGATTTTTGACCAAAAAAACACAAAAAGATAAGATTGGCTACATAAATTAATAAAATAAAATGTCACATCTAAATCACAATTATTATATTTTTTCTCTCATAAAAATTAAAAAAACCAAAAAAATCAAATCAAATCAAAGGAGGCTAAAAAACCAAGCTAAAAAAATTTAATACACAAAAATCAACTAAAAAAAATTAATGCCAAACGAATACAAGTGTATTGATTTTTTTGACCTTTAATTTTAAAAATAATTTGTTGGGATATGTTAAAAAATAAATTACAAAATCATAAAAAAAGTGTATGATTTTATATATCAATGCTTATAATGAATACCAATAATTTAAAAATGTTTTTTGAAATGTACACTTGAATGATAATTCCCCTAATTTTGTTGGTATTTTGACTAAAATAATCTCTTCCTAAACAAAGCCCTAATAATATTCAGTGTGTTTGGTTTGAGTTTTTTTAAATTAAGTTTTTTGTTTTTTGTATTTTTTTATTTTTAGAGAATATTTTTAAAATTTTAAACATTTTTTTTTACTTTTTTAGATGTATCTTATTTAAATGTGTTTAAAAAGTAAAATATTTGCAAAAAAATATTTTAAAATTTTAATAAATACACAAAAATATGAAAAATGTACTGAATTTTCGTATTTTTTTGTATTTTTGATATTTAGTGAATTTTTTTATATAAAAAAATCTCAAAAATTATACTTTACAAGTGTATTTATGTTAGGTGTGTGTAAAATTTTTTTAAAAAAATGCTTAAAATATTAAAAAAAGTTTAATAAAAACAAAAAAATACAGAAAATAATAAAATATAATTTTCTGAAAAGTGTTTTTACAAAACTCAAACCAAGCAAATGATAAGCATTTGAAATCATACCATGTATCAAACTAACCTATCATGTTTCAGTTTTTAATGATAAATTTATAATTATAAAAACATCTTAAAACAATATGAAATTCAATTACTTATCATGTACACATCATATTTCAAAATAAAGTAACACAAAAGTAAATAAAAACTCATAAATAAAGCCAAAATATGCAAATTATTATTCCACAAACATAAAACATACAATTAAAATATCTCCAAAAAAAAATCATTAAAAACACGAGAGACAGATACATTTTTAAAAAAATCACAAAAAATTTGTGAATAAATAAATTCAGTCAATAAAATCTTTTAGTAGTCATTCCAATAAATAAGTACTTGAAAGACTCGCAAAAGTCCACACAAGTTCAAGTCATCTAAGGCGGTAGCTATTGGACAATCTTTACTGTATTATGAATAAATTTTTTTTGTGTACTCAACAACAAACAGAATACCAAAAAAATAAAGGAAATAAGAGAAATTGTTTGATTACAAAAATTAAAGTATAATATAAAATAAATAAATAAAAACAGATTTTTATTTTGTTATAAAAACAAAATCTAAATCTAAAACAGAAACAAAAAAATAATAAAACAGAAAAGTAAATTAATTACTTATCTTATTAATTTGTCGAATAAATTTTTGATCAAGTTCAGTGTTTAACACTGTATCCTTAAGACAGTTCGTTTTCTCCACGGTGCTTTCAGATTATGGATGTCTATCTCCTAGGATAAAATGATCAACAATGAATAATTGCAACACTATAAATTATTCGCACAACGAACACGCTTTGTGTTTATACTCTTTCTCATAGAAAAATTAAATGCAGCAAAATGTAAAGAGTAATTACGGAGGGAAGAACGAATTTGCTGAATGCAAAATCCAAATGAGGGTCTATCTATTTATAGGAGAAGATGTGACAGTTCAAATTTGAATCCGACAGGTATGGTACCTGTTCGGATAGTGTTGAACAGATAAAAAATCTATTCGATTTTGAACTCAACGTGTATAAACCTGTTTGATTTGAATTTGAACATATATGGGTTTGAGTTCGAACAAATATGAATCTGGGCAGATGGTTTGAAGAGATACAAGCAAAATTTGAATTTTTCTAACCAAAATTTAAAATTTAAACTGGACAAATTTTATTTTACCAAAAAATAAAATAAAATTCAAATGTTTTTGGCCTAAAAAGAATTAATATTGGGCCGGACAAGCCCAACCTAACCTCACACCACGCACCCGCGCCCAAGCTCAGGCCCAGGCCCAGGCCAGCCCGCCCGTCCGGCTAGACAGATGGCGGCAACGACACGCGTGTATGTGTTTATTTTTGGGTCCAATGAGTCTAACCCACTTTACCCATAATCTCTCCTTTTTATAAAACTGGGGTGCCTTTTGAGGCCCTCCCCAAGTTGCAAACTCAAGCCTTATAAACCCACAAAAGTTTGCCCACCAAACCAATGTGGGACAAGTTTTAACTCAAAGCTTAATGGAAATTTCACCAAAACATCATTTCCATGGAGCTCATTTTGGCTACAATTTCTCATTCACCCGATAATAGTTTTGAGCAACCAAATATGCTACATGAATCACAACGCGGCATAGAACGCATTACCACTTAGACCCACCAACTTTG